CATTTGGCCCGGAGTCGATCATCTATGCGGGCAATGTGGAGACGGCGGCAAATGCCGAGAAGAATATCGCCAACAACGACACCAACAACACTGCTGCACCGTCCAATGGCGAAAACGGCCACGGGAGCCATCACCACCACCAGCAGCAGCAGAAGCAGAACGGTGAAGAAGATGAAGCAGACAATGACGGCGGCGGTGATGATGATGATGATGCTGGGAAAGAGACCTCCAACGGCGACGATCGCAACACCTCGCACACTGCTAATAAACACGACGGTGCCACTGTGAATGGAGCAGAGGGAAAGATTGCACTGCCAGGTGAGTGAGATTGATTGCTGCCCTTATAGCCCTTTACCATTCGATGACTCACCTTTGGCTGACTATCCTTTTTTTAGAAACGGCGCCAGTGCCTGCTGTACGCACCACAGTCCAGCGCACAACAGCAGCAAACACCACCACCACCACCTCCACTGCCGAAGAGAATGGCGAAGAGAGCACAAAAGCAGTTGTCGTGGACGACGAAAGTGCCGAGCTTATTGTGGTTGCGGACGATTCTGCCGCCGATACCTCAAAGACTGACCTGACTACTGTGCTGCACTCGAATGGCAATCACACGCCAGTCAGTGGACGTGAAACTTCTGAATCGGTCATCGTCGAGGAAAACCTTAGCGAGCTTAATATTCAAAATGGAAACGGCACTGCCAATGCGGCTGCCACCACCACCACTACCTTGGTTGATGAACCGGAAACAGCTCGACAGAGCAGTCTGTCGCCGGCCCCGGGCTCGTCATTTTCCCGTAACAGCACACTGACTCGAAGTCAGCGGAAGAAGGTGACCCCGCAAGTGAACATCATCAAGAACATGCTGGTGGCCAGCAGTACATACTCTCCGCCCGTCCTCGACCCAACCAGCATTCCTTCCTTCTCGTCGAGCCATGACGGTGGCACCGGTGGCGCAGGCCAGCTGAATGGCGACAAGTCTGATGTGAATGAAAACTTTATCATCTCTAGTCTAGCTCAGAAGCAGCAAAGCGACGCTGCGGCGCACTCTGAGGCGAATGGCGATCACCAGCACATCGCTGACCATCCACTGAGCATATCAACATCGGCCAGTCACAACTCTCTGAGCGAGTTTGGCCTAAATGGAGGTACAGAGCACCGTCGTGAATTGTTGCTCCATCATCTATCTATCCATTTTCACCTCGACTACTACTTCTATTTTCAAACTAACCCGTTTCGCTTTTCTTTTCACTCGCTCACTAACTAACTGACTCTTGACCCAACTCTTCTTCTGCTCTCTGACACAGCAGTCTCTCTATCTTTCCATTTCACGTCTGTTGCCGTTCCCTTTGTTTAGCATTTTCTGCTTTACCACGCGGTGATTGATTGCCTTTCAATCGCATCTAATCAGAATTGTTTTTCTCTCTCTCTCCCCACTCTGCAGGACTGACTCGACAGCCATCGATGAAGAAGAAGGTGCCTGTCAATAGAGACATATTGCTTCACAATTGTACGTGTGTGTCTGTGTCTGTGCTGACTTGCTTGTTAGTCGCTCTTTGATTCTCACTCACCTCTATCATTTCTCCCCTTTTCTTTCCCCTCTGCCCCCTCTTTCACTAGACGACAAAGACGAGGAAGGGGAAAAGTCAGTCAGCTCGAGTGACCCCATGAGTCAGCTTAATGGTGTGCCTTATCTGAAAGTTGCACCTCGATTGGAGAATAATACCTTAACGGCGGCGGCAGCATCAGCAGCCAATCACTCTGATGCACTGCCGCCAGTCCATTCAGAGGACGATGTGCAGATGCCGACTGACTTTGGTGAGTCCTTCCTCAATGGCCACGGCGAGCCTTGTGTGATTGACATGAAGGCGATTGAGCCCTACAAGAAGGTGAGTTGGGAGAAAATGCCTATTTTCTTATCGGAGGACAGGTGATCATCATTGACGAACATTTTTTAACTTCAGGTCATCTCCCACGGCGGGTACATGCACGCCAGTGCTGATGGTCGCAACGTGGAGGGCGCCAGTTCTGCTATCATCATCTTCTCGGCGTGCTACATGCCGGACAGGACGCGCAAGGACTACCACTATGTGATGGATAACCTCTTTATGTAAGTCAAATCTAGCTGATGATGGGGTCTTTGGTTCTACAACTCTTGTGTTTTGTGTCAGGTACGTGCTCACAACTCTGCACAACATGATTGCCGATGACTACATTCTCATATACCTACACAATGGCGGCCAGCAAAACTCGGGCCCCACTTTTGGCTGGCTGAAGCGATGCTACCAAATGATTGATCGCAGACTGAAAAAGAACCTCAAAGGTCTCTACATACTGCATCCTACCTTTTGGCTCAAGACTATTATTATCATGAGCAAGCCTTTCATTAGGTATTTGATATATTGACCAATAACTGAGTTGTGAAACGTGGATTGACCTTTTTGTTTTTCCCATATTTTGTAGTTCCAAGTTTTCAAGAAAACTAAAGTTTGTTCGCTCACTTGAAGAGCTTCGTGAGATGATACCCATTGAACACGTTGCAATACCGGAACCAGTTAAGATGTAAGTAGGAGAGTGATGTGTATGTTGTGGCACTTGTTGTTGTTGCTAATGATGTGCACGAAGACAGTAATTCCTGAGAATGCCAAACGGGTGAAGAGTAGCCTGAAAAAAAATAATGTTTGAACATGCCTGCAATACCTCAAATTACAAATGATGATACTCTGCACTGAGATCATCTCTTTATTTTTTGTTGTCCTTTTTCATAACTTTATTATTTGTGTCTTGAATCAGTTTTCCTTTTTGCTTTATTTTATTTAATTTAAAAATTGACAAATCAAGGATTTTTATGTGTTTGAATGTTATCACCCTTTGTTTGCATGCTTACTTTTGTGTACTCACACTTGATTGTCCCTCGTTTTCTGTTTGAGTGTACCACGTACTTGTCAATTAATCGCCTCCTTCGCTTCCTCTTCCTTTTCCATTTCAGCTACGATCAACTTGTCACCTCTCGATGAGAACGCCTACCCCGAGCTCTCTCCTTTTTCCTCTTTACAGAAGTTGTTGTTTACATTACTTTTACTTTTTAAATTTATTAAATCTTTCAAAGTTGTAATTTTTTATAGCATTGTAGCAAAAAGTTGAATATGCTAAAAAAATCACTGAAAAAGAAATGCGCTGCTGTATCTATCAACTGGCGTTGCCCGCCAGGCAAAAGTGGTAGAACCCGGTGCCCTAGTGCTTGCAGCATTTCGAAGCTCCGGCAGTGTCTGCCGGGTGGTGGTCACTGGTGGTCGTCGCCTGCTCCGGACCGACGATGTTCACCGGGTAGGTGCAAAGCAACTGAGAGCACTGCTTGAGGGGCTCCATCAGCAGACGAGTGCAGTTGATTCGCGCCTCAGGAGGTGGCTTGGTGAAGGAGCAGCGAGACTGGCCCTCGCAGATGGCACAGTTCGTTCGGTGGTTGGTCACCTTCGCCTCCGTCAGCCCGGGAAAGACCTGGCCCCAGTGGGCACTCTGCAGAAAGGTGTGCGATTTGGCGAAGATCTCCAGGGTGAGACTGCGCACCGAGGGCAGTGAGTTGACCTGACTGGCCGGGACGGCGTCATCGGCAGCGAGGGCGTGTCCCAGGTTGAAGAAGGCATTGGTCAGGCGGAGGTAGAGCAGACTGTGCAGTGGCGCCAGGGCAGCCGACAGACTGACCAGTGACAGCTGGGCGGCGTCAATGGTCAGCGAGGTGATGCCCTTGTAGGCGGCCAGGAAGGCTGACAGCTGCTCAGTGGTGAATGGACGCTGAATGGAGGGCACTGAGACGAAGCGCTCGGCGAGGCCACTGTTCAACTTTCCCGTCATCTTCTCAAGGTCGACGCCTTTGAAACCACGCTCATTGCCCAGGCCGATACGTTTCAGCGGAGAGCCGGCCGCCTCGCCGTACTTCTTCAAGGTGTCCACCAGCTGCGGTGTGATGTTGGGCGCACGGTAGAAGAACTCCTCCAGCTTGGCCAGCACTGGCAGGTCCAGTTTGGAGGTCAGAGAGGATTCACTGGCAGTTGAGGGGGACGACTTTTTGTTGGCCACGTCACTGCTGTTGCTCGATGGCTTGCCATTGCTGGCAGTGCTGTCATCCTCCGTCTCACCACCACTCTCTGCAGCCAGCTGGTCAATCTCCAGCGTCAGGTGACGCAGCTCGGTGAGGCCATTGATGGCGTCCAGCAGGGTGCCATAGGAGCTGGGCTCGTACTGGAAGAGCAGCTTCAGCGTGTTCAGCGACTTTGCCCAGTGGGCGAGCAGACCGGCGATGGAGTTGACCACACTGCTCTCGATGCGCTCATCATTCAGCTCGGCCGGAGCGCAGACCACCTCCAGCTTGGTCACGCTGGGCATTTCCTCAAACAGCTGACAGGCTTCAAAGTTCTTCGCAAAGGATCGCTTCTGGCAGGAGTGTGTGGCCGTGGAGGAGGCGCAGTCGATCACTCGGTGTGGCACCGGGTTCAGCTCGTGCTCGCGCAGGTACGTCATGGCGAAGGTCGACGTGGAGAAGGCCTGCAGAACCGAGTGGCCAACCATCAGAACCAGGTGATTGGTTTTGGCTAGCGTCTTGTTGGAGACTCCGCGAGTTTGTTCAGAGCTGTCCGAGCCTGTACCTCCTCCTCCTCCATCGGAGTTAGAGCTCGAGGCGGAATCATACGAATCAGAAGAGACAGGTGAGTTTCCGGCAGCAGTGGACATCATTGTGATAGCAATAGGTGCAAAAAGCAAAATACTTTCAAAAGTAAGATTCACTTTACTTTCACAAGTTTAGAGTGCGTCAGCTTAAAAAATCGAATTTAGCTTTTATCGATTTTTGAGCTGGTAAAGCCAGCATTTGAATCCCATGTTGCAATCCGCAAGATGGCAATAGAGGCACTTCTCATTCAAACCGCTTCAAAAGATTCTCTGGACAGCAGTCTGTTGCTATCGTCGCCAGTGTTTGTTTTGGTAATTTCACTGAAGCTGCAATCATGAATCTCATTGTCATTCTTGTCCTTTTCTTTGCTGTCATTGAAAACACATCTTCGCATGATTTAAATGAACAGGCGGCTGGAGCAGAAGATTATCATCGCGAGGATGAAATTGACGGTAAACTGAGATATTTACCCGAGTTTAACGTGAACGCCGATGTCACAAACAAATGGTCAAAGTACATTGAACTGGTGCAAAATGCAAATCGACAGTTCATTAGCACTGCTGATAATGATAAAGCTACATCACCTGCTTTGGCAAATGCTACCTGTGCCCCTTTCCTGCCATTGGTGGAGTCTGATCTGAAGTATTACGAGGATTTACATGGAGCTCAGTTTATTGACGAAAATGTCATTGAGCAAATGAAGAAACTAGATCGAACTGTTCACTATCAGNCTGGTGCAAAATGCAAATCGACAGTTCATTAGCACTGCTGATAATGATAAAGCTACATCACCTGCTTTGGCAAATGCTACCTGTGCCCCTTTCCTGCCATTGGTGGAGTCTGATCTGAAGTATTACGAGGATTTACATGGAGCTCAGTTTATTGACGAAAATGTCATTGAGCAAATGAAGAAACTAGATCGAACTGTTCACTATCAGATAGTCAATCACCGACTTTATCGTGATAAAGCCTGCATGTACGCATTTAAGATCTTTACCTTTTGCAAAAATTGACAAATGCTTTGTTACAGGTTTCCCTCTCGTTGTTCAGGCGTTGAACACTTTCTGCTGTTCCTTCTGCCTCATCTGCCAAACATGGATCTGTTTGTCAACGTTCGTGACTACCCCCAGATTGGAAAAAGCTTTCCAAAAGGTCAACAACTGCCCGTTTTCTCTTTCTCCAAAGATGTGACCTCCTACGTGGACATCACCTACCCAGCGTGGACATTCTGGTCCGGTGGTCCGGCACTGGACATCTACCCCACTGGAATCGGCCGCTGGGACCTGTCTCGTGAGTCAATCCTCAGGAAGCAAAGTCAGCTGCCCTGGTCAAAGAAGGCCGACATTGCCTTCTTTCGTGGCTCTCGAACTAGCGCCCAGCGTGACCCGATCATACGGTTGAGCAGAGCCCAGCCGCACCTAGTGGACGCCAAGTACACCAAGAATCAGGCATGGAAGTCAAAGGAGGACACACTAGGCGAAGAGCCGGCAGGGACGGTGCCTTTTGAGGAGCACTGCCAGTACAAGTACCTCTTCAATGCTCAGGGCGTGGCGGCCAGCTTCCGCCTGAAGCACCTCTTTCTCTGTCGCTCACTGGTGCTGAACGTTCACTCAGAGTGGATTGAGTTCTTCTACCCACCGCTGAAACCGTGGATTCACTACGTGCCCATCTCCGCCGACTTTGCCGACACGACGGAGGTGTTGCACTTTCTGGCAGAGAATCAGCCCATCGCTGCACGTATTGCCAAACGAGGCTTCGAGTTCATTCGTCAGCACCTGACAATGGAGGCAGTGCAGTGCTACTGGCGGTACCTCCTCGAGGCCTACTCTAGCCGACTGGTCGCTCACCGACCGAGTGTGCCCGATCAGAAGCTGATTGAAATCACTCAAAGTGCCTGAATGGCCTGAACAGCTGCGGCAGAAGCACTGTGTGTGTGTGCCACCATTACTTAACAAAATCGAAACGGCTGTGATACTTCAGATTGGCTAATTTTAGGTCAATTTGTACCTGTTACGACTTCTTGGCCGACTGCGACGAGCTCTACTGTTTCTGCCAACTCATTTACCGGACGTTGAGGATATGACTCCCCTCTACGGGTACGACCACTGGGCGCCATATTTTTCACCCGACAATGGGTCAATCGAAGAGAGAGAACTTTGTACTGTCAATGTCACCTCACTGATCAGATCAGCCAGTCGACAGCATGAATTGTACCTTTCAAGTCTGATCTGTGACCGCCAAAGCGGGACATATAAAAGCAAAATGACACTCATTCAAGTACTGCCAGTTTTGGGGGAAATACAGCCAAAAATGGCGTCCATACTCGGTTTTTCTGTCTTACTCTTGTTCAGCATTAGCTTTTGCCCACCAACAAGGGCCCAAATGTCCAGCATGTCCCGGTCATCAGTGTTCCCCGTTCGCACCTTTGCCTTTACCTCTGACACCAGTCTCCACTTTGACCTTAATCTGGTCATTCCTATTCCACTGGTGGGCAATGTGACCGTTGACATCGAAGTTGACCTTCCGCTGCGTGTCCGATTCATGAACAATTCCATTGCCTACAAGCCAATTAAAATTCCCTATCTCATTCTGCCTGATCCGAAGCCGATCACAATTGACCTGCGAAAGCCTGACTACTCGTACGGCAACAACTACTACTCGTACAATCAGGATCCTTACAGCTACGATTCGTCCTCATCAGCTTACTACGCTCCTGATGACAGCAGCCCATACTATGACTCATCCTCTTCATCTTCAGATGGACAAACATGGATTGATGCCAATCGACGAAATTTACTGTTTTCTAGTACTAAAAAGACGAAGAAATCGCCGAAATCAGGCAAACGATTGCCTGCTGGCAAAAGGACAAAAAAGAAGAGCAAAAAGTACTCCAACAAAGGTGGTGGCGGTGATGGATTGCACGCCAATCGACGATCATCAAACTTCACCGAAGCATTTCAGTATTACCATCGACGGCACCGGCGAAGTGTGGCCGAGTCCTCTGCCCAGCACCGTCTCGATCTGTTCACCGTCTTTGAGGAGACGCTCAACATGTACGGCCTCGATGGACCTGCCTGCGTCTGTCGAGCCATCTGCGAGATGGCCGAAATGGAGCTGCTCATCGAGTCGCCGGTGCACGAGGCCATTGAACACCTCCTTCGGTAAGTCAAGTCGGAAAACACTCAAAGTCTTTCATCGATCGATCATAACAAAAACCTTAATCTCTCACACACACAGCGTCTCTCGAGCCTTCGACACGGATGGTCTTCTCTCAGAGTACAGCGACGCGGAAAAGTTTGGTCATGAAAGCTACAAATCGAAAAACTGGACCGCCTGCGCCAAGCGATACTACCAGTGCCCCTTCAGTATTTTCGATCGTCAATCAGTTTAGCTGGTAGTTTGTTGTTGGTTTACAGGTCAAATTTTATTTATTTATTGAAGAGTGAACTTCACTTCTCTCTCCCTTCCTTTGCCAAGCTTTGTCTGTGAATAAGATTTTATTTATCAATAAAAATAACAAAATCGCAAAAGGCAATGAAAATAAGAGCAAACGAAGGACAACACCTTTGCCCGAGCAAAGTGTGTAAATGCCATGCCAACAATGTGGAAATATGTGATCGGTGATGACTGAGTGAGATGAACCAGATGATGTTCCAGATGAGCAGATGAGAACTTTTTTGTACATGATAGTCAACTAGTGGCGTAGATGAAATAAAGTGAGTGTGAGATCAGAAGAGTGGATTCATTTCACTACATGTTGTAAGCAGATTTAAGGTCTTTGATTTTTTTGACAATTTTGAGTGCAGGGCCCAGCTTCATTTTCAAAATAGTAATGATATGCTCTTCGTTAATAAACATCAAAGCCTGTCCGTCGATCTCGTGCACCCGGAACTCATCTGCACAGCCGGAGCACCCTTCGAGGTTGTTGATGAAATCGTACACGTCTTGAACCTGAGAAAGAGAAAAGGAAAGAATAGGGATTAGGTCCAACCCAAACATCAACACACTGAGTTGTGCAACTTACCGTCCACTTGGTAGGCGGGTCTTTTCCATTTCCCGGCAGCCAGAGGCCGTCCAACTCAGACATGCCGGTCTTGTCTTCCTTGACAATCAACGAGGCCGAATCAGTGCCTCCCACCATAGTTGAGGTGAGGCCGTTTTGCTGCGCCGCAGCCTTGTTGTTTGCCATATGAGCGTCGTTTTTGACCTGAATGGAAAAAAGNCTGAGTTGTGCAACTTACCGTCCACTTGGTAGGCGGGTCTTTTCCATTTCCCGGCAGCCAGAGGCCGTCCAACTCAGACATGCCGGTCTTGTCTTCCTTGACAATCAACGAGGCCGAATCAGTGCCTCCCACCATAGTTGAGGTGAGGCCGTTTTGCTGCGCCGCAGCCTTGTTGTTTGCCATATGAGCGTCGTTTTTGACCTGAATGGAAAAAAGAATGAAAAGAAAGAAAAGCAACGGATGAGCAACCTCAGTGTGCCAAGAGCCAGCAGAGACGCTATTAGGCGGGTCGCCTAGGCAACATCTTCCATTACTACTACTACTACGTCTGCAACTTACGGTGAGAGGCGAGTTGACGCGAGCTTTCTTCTCTGACAGCGGCCCACCACTCTCCTTGAGGTTGGTGTTCCTCTTCAGGCCGCCGTTCATCTGCGCCACCGGGGTGCCACCGTTGTTCAGCGGCAGGTTGTTGTAGGTGACGCTGGCGATGATGGGCACGGCGGCGACTGGCATGCTGGGCATCTGCTGCGGCATGATCGAGTTGGCCATCAGCGGCTGGCCAATCATCACCTTGTTCATCACCGACACCGGCGGGGCCATCGGGGCCGTTCCATTCTGCAGCGCCTTCTTCCGCGAGAAGTCCTCATTACAGGCGGCACTGCAGAACTTCTTCATCTTGTCCTTTCCATTCTTGAACATCTCCTTCTTGCCGCAGTTCACACAGCCCACACTCACTCGGTTCGCTTTGAAGTTAGCGTAGGTGGTGGGAGTGGCTGTACTGGTGGAGGAGGTTGCGGTCTGCAGTGATTCTCCCCTCATACCGTTACTTGTCGTTGGTGTGCCATCTTTGTTCGCAGCAGTCGCTTCCTTTACTGAATCGCTCTTTGCTGCTTTCCCGTCATCCGCCGACTCTTGCTTCGCAGCAGAAGCGTCTTTGTCCTTTTGGGCATTTTCTGCCTCACTAGAGTGCCCATTAATGGGGAAAGGACTTGGGCTTTCCTGAATCACGTAGCCGTCAATGACGTGCGTCAAAACGACTTTCTCCGGCTGTTTGGGTTTGAGTTTGGGCGTGGACAAGCCCTTCTGAACGCCAATGCCCACCGATTTGGAGACTGTTCCGTTAGGCGTTTTCTGGTTTGTGGCTGCCGTTTTAGCTTGAGGATTGGTCTGCTGCACCTGACAGAAGACACCGTTGAGAATATGCGCATTCTGCTGGGATGGTAACTGTGAGTTCGTCGGCGTGTTAGGGGTCGCTGATTTATTACTGGTGAATCCAGTGCTGGTACGGACGCCATTCAGACCACTTTTGATTGGTTTCGTCACAAAGGTCGGTGTCCCTGTGGAGGAGTCCTTTTTCTCCACCTTGCGATTGCCTGATTTGTTGAGCGACGAGGCGGGAGATGTGCTCCGGTTTAGGGGGCTCTGTGCACTATTGACTGGTGTGGAGTTACCAGAGCTGGTCATCATAGTGCCTGAAGAGGATACGTTGAGAGAGGTGGAGGTCATCACAGTTCCGGGCGAAGAGCTCGCCGGGGTATAGCTGGCCGCTTTCTGGCCAACTTTGTTGGTCGCTGAATTGTTGTTGTTGGCCGAGTTGTTGAAGCCAGTGCTGCTGTTTGCAGTTCCCACTGGCGAACTCTTTGCACTGGCCGTCGTGCCATCACTTGCCTTTGTCATTGTCAGCGGCAGTTTGCCCTGTTGAGTGCCCAGCAGGCCGGGACGAACAGGGGTGGAGGTGCTGTTGCTGCTATTGGGTGTTCCTCCACTGGCCACCGGACCGTTCTTAGGCGCCAGTCTGGCCTGCATGCCAGCCGGGCTAGCATTGGTGACATTCGATCGAGAGTCAAGCAGAACCTTTTGCTTTCCCGCCGATGAGGTGGAACTATTGCTGGCCGGTCGAATGGGTCTTTGCCGAGAAGCATTGGCCATCGGCGTGGAGGTGGGTGTGATGATGCTCTGTGAAACCACTGTGCCCTGGTTCATGTTGTTGATGTTGTTGACTGTGTTTGCCATTCCACCGGTCATTGCGACGGAAGCCGTCTGCTGAGTCTGTTGCAGCATCGGCGACGCATGTGCCACCGTCTGGTGAGTGGCCTGAATCATCGGCATGGTCTGGTTGACGGAAGAGGCGACTATTTGCTGGTGCCCGGTGGCCATTTGCATGGTGCCGCCGGTGTTGGCCTGCTGCTGTGTGCCCTGCGTCATCTGCATGGGCAACGCCTGGTACTGGTTGTTGCCCGTCTGAAAGAACATCTGTCCGTCGCGAAAGTAGATGGGCTGTGTGTTGGGGGTGACCAGCTGCGTCTGCTGCTGATTAATGGCGCCAGTCGTCCAGGTGAGGCCATTGTTGAAGGAGGAAATGATGGTCGGATTGGTGGCTAACTGCATGCCACCTGTGCCCGACTGCAGTCCCTGACCGTGCACCATGATGGTCTGAGCACTGCCAGGTGAGCTGCCGTTGGCGGCCGTTTGAAAGGGCGAGTTGTTCGTCTTGAACTGCGCCGGAGCAATCATGGGCGTCGTGGCCAGCGACGTTGCTGGCTGAATCTTTTGGTGAATAATGTTGGCGCCAGAAGTCTAAAGAACAAAATAGTGGGAGAAGAAAAACGACGGCGAATGGATTAGTCAGATGATCAAACAGCAGAAGAGGCACACAGACACAGAGACACAAAGTGAGCAAACAAAGTGATGGAAAGTCGGGAAATGATGGAAAACGAGTTAGAGAGTGTTGGGCAAGCGTGCAATAGGGACAGCAAAAGTGTGAGAGTTGAAAAGATGGTAGTAGCAAGAGAGAGTGAGAGAGTAAGAGGTAAGTACCAACCAACCTTGGGGGTATTAGCAGAGCTAGATCGAGCCGAGCTAGCAGTTCCCTGGAGACCGAAAGAAGAAGTGTGTGGGGGAGGGGGTAGGAGTGAAGCAAAGGCAAAAACGGTTAAAGAACGTCGAGCTCAACAACAGTGGCTTGGAGAGAGAGAGTGCAGAAGAGTACAACAAAAAACAAGAGCGGCCTGTGCCTGAGCTGCACTGAATGAGTAAAGGAGTCAATGAGCAAGTGTCTCTAGTGCAGTGGCAGTGACAAGAGAGCAGCGGTATGTGTGTGCTTGTGTCCGCGAAGACACAGAGCGGCAAGGAGGCGGCAGGGGAGGAAGAACACGGCAGCCATCCTTCTTCAGCCGGCCACAGAGCAGCCATTCATCGTCGTAGCAGCAAGGGATGTGCGACTGGACGTACTGGCGGTGCTGCAGCTGCTGCTGCCGATGTTGCTGATGGTGTCGTAAGAGTGCCAGTGCTTACACCACTGCACTGTGACGTACTCCACTCACTCTGTCTGGGTATTACGTAGCTGATGCTGATGATGCCGCCGTTGATGCTACTGCTGTTCCTCGCTGCGCCGTACGCCACAACCGAAGCCTGCACTGCACCACCAAATGATGTCACATGGCACGCAGACGAGACGAGTCGGACACGAGACGCAGTGCATTTGTGGTGCTCAATCAGTGCAGGGAGGAAGTGTTAGCAGTGCTCGACCGCTGAGCACCACAGTGGCCAGTGGGCAAATGTGATGCAAATGCCCCCTTTCCTTTGCTCACCGGTCTGTCTATATACTACTTGGATTCTGGAGCAAGGGGTTGCATATTGATGTGGGTGGAATTGACGTCAACAAGCCCACGTATGGCTAGTGCCAATTCGCTGGTGCATTGTGTGGATTGAGTGAATTAACAGCGGCAACGGCAACCACTTCCTCAGTGCTGCCATACGTCCTCTAAGAGCGGCAAGTGTCGGTTGAAAATCAAAACAAAAAACCAGTTTGAGAATTCTGCAGTAAAGTGCAGATTCTGTGGCTGATTCTGTGAGCACTGCAGGCTCACTCAAACAAAATATGGCTGCGCATAGGCACTAACGCTAATTAACTAAAGTGCACTTCAGTGAGAAAGCAAGCGACTTTGAAAGGACAATAAAAACGGTAGAGGCGCAGTTGTGGCAAGCAAAGTAAAGTACGAGTGAAAACTTACATTATTCTTTCGATTGTTATTGGGCGTCGAGATAAAGGTGGCACCGTTCGTCTGTCCATTAGGCTGACTTTGGAACGTTCCAATGACAAAGGTCTGGTTCGGTGTACCTGTTGTCTGGAAGGTTGGCGTCCCAATGATCGTCTGCTGCTGCTGCTGGTTAGGCTGCACCTGTCCCCGAACTGCAGTTGGCGTAGTGGTGGCACTGGATTTAGTGGCCTGCGGTTGCTGTGGCGACATGGACACGCTCTTAATGATCGTCTGGCCTTGCTGTTGGACAGGCTTCACCGGCGTGTTGGCGGCATTAGTCGTAATCTGATTGGTGATCATCGTATTGGTGTTGTTGCCATTCGGTATCTGTATGGCCAGCTGTGAGGGACTCTGCTGGAACATGCTCAGATTGCCGGGCGCCAGAATAATGGGCTGCATATTATGACCGGTGGCGTACTGAAACTGCTGGATGGGCATCGTGTAGGTGGGTCCAGGAGCCGTCTGGATCATCTGCATATGCGGCAGGGGAAGAATGCTCATTCCCTGTCCCTGGAGGACGCCCTGGCCACCGTTGAAGGTCTGCATGGGCTGCCCCTGCGCATTGACCACCAGCTGTGAGGTCTGACCCCCTTGCTGCTGTGTTGTCATCATGTTGGGCGAGGAGAAGACGGTGACTCCACTCGACTGGAGTTGCTGTTGCTGCTGCACCGACGCCAATGCGATGCCTGTCTGCTGGTGGTGATGGTGCTGGTGGTTGGTGGGCTGGTAGAAGGTTTGGTGAGGCGCAATGGGCTGAAAGTTGGTGCCGTTGCTCAGTTCAGTCTCTGATTTGCGCGACGACTTTTTCGCCGGAGAGGCGGAGGTGACGGTGGTGGCCGTCGACTTGGCGGTAGTGCTGATGCTCGAGCAGAAGGCGCCCGCAGGCTTCTGCTGGCTGATACTGGAGACGTTGGCGTTACTGCTGACTACTGCTGGCGATGACATCGTCCAGAAAGTGGTTGGTGCGACGGCGATAGGGAAGAGGAGGACGATTCATTCGAGTCAGTCAGCAAGAGGGCGGCAGTGGCGAAAGAGAGGAGAAAACGTTCAAAGCATTAGTGTCCTGCCGGAAAAGTAGGGCTTTCTGGTCTTCGCTACGTCTGTGACTGCTCTACGAGAGTATTCTAAGTGGGTTCTAGGAAAGAACTTCTACGGGTTCCTTTGAGAGCGCAAAGGTTCAGCACCATCGAGTGTGCACACACACACCGAAAGAGAGGGTGAAGGTTGATCTTGGGTGAGGGGGTACGATAGTTGTGTGGATAGAATAGGGAGGACTCGGGAAACCAGGTGGTGGTGGTGGTGGTGGTAGTGGGGAAGCTGCAAAAGATAACAGAGCAATGAGTGACCGGGTACATTCAAGCAGAGAGGCTGGGTCATCTATAGCCAATTTATGTTTTAGTTAGCGGCGGTGGTACTCGTCCAGCTGACCACAAAAGTAGTCCTGTTGCCTTCCTTCCTTCTCCCGCCGCTTGGTGAGTGCAATGTGAGTGTCAACATGGAGAAGAGCAACCGCTGGAGAGAGCGAACATGATCACACCCAGTCCGAGTGACTAGGAGGAATATGACTTTACTTCACTGGCCTGTCGGCTTTATTGGCCATAAAGTGAAGATAGAGCCTGTCGCAGCCGGGAGCCCTGTTAACCATCGAGGTGCATTTTGCACTTTATAGCCCGTCCGTCTCTATGACTGAACTCTCTCTCCCCATCAGCAGACTCGACGGCGGCCAAAGTTGATTGTGCCCTCTCATCTCAGGCCAGTGGCCGTGACCAGGCTAACAACAGGCGCAGATATGCCTGAAAATCGAAACCGTGTTCTGGCAGATCTGCTGTCGAAGTGTGCTGCTGTGGAGAACAGCAGCACTCGCATTTTTACTTACTCCCGGGCACATTCGGCGGTGGTGGTGGTGTTCTTGTCGAGCCACAAACTCGCGAATCTCGTTTCTGTGGAGTGGGCACATTCAGAGTGCAGTGAGAGAAAGAGAGAGAACACACCACACCGAACACTGCACAGATCCCGAACACGAAACGGCGACGACGAAGACTGCGCCAAAAAGAGGAGCACCTCACTGGCACGCTAGTTAAGGCAACCGTCACTCGAACTTTTTAGTTTTACACGTCTCTAATAG